TCAGCCCCTCACCCAGGCTGGCCAGGCACCCAAACAGGACCCCCACCCTGATCTGGGACAACCTTCAGGGCAAACCAGCCGGCCCCCACCTGTGCACCAGGCCTCTATCCTATATAGTAAAAGGGTAATGTACAAACTGACCCTAACAGCAGAAAGACTGGGAATGACTGGTCACTATGACACACACTGACCACCAGGGGGCAGACGCTCAATACAGGAGCTGACCTCTGATGGTCAGTGCACTCCCACATGGGGGAGCTCTGCTCAGCCACAAGCCAGGCTGACGGCTGCCAGTACAGCGGTGGTGGTGGGAGCTTCTCCTGTGTCCTCAGCAGCGCTAAGGATGTCTGACTGCAGCTTAGGTCTGCTCCCCGCTGTCAAGTGGACATCCCCTGATGGCTCCCGGGCTGCCAGAGGGATGACTGATTGCCATCTTAGGCCCAGTCCCTCGGGGAGCAGGCCTAAGCCAGCAAGTGGTCATCCCCTGAGGGGTCCCAGACTGCGAGAGGGCACAGGCCAGGCTGAGGGACCCCCCCCCCAGTGCACAAATTTCTGTGCACTGGGCCTCTAGTCATATGATAAAGTGCTATTCAGATGTTAAATATTAATGAATTGGATCAATATATCTGCAGGAGAGATAGATCGATATATCTCAATAGAGGTAGCTCTCAAAACAATGTTGAATTTTATAAAGCAAGTTTCCAAATGATATACAGTATATATTAATATTTGCATAAAAATGTAAAATACATATACTAATACCACATATGGTCTGTGTGTGTGTGTGTGTGTGTGTGTGTGTGTGTGTGTGTGTGTAATACCATCAGAACCATGATGGTGGTGCCCTTTAGGGTGGGAGGGAGAGGAATGAGACTAAAAAGGGAAATAGGGTGGGGGTGAGGGATAGTATTTAAATTCATCTGTAATGTTTCCTAGGTCATTAATTTCAAAAAATAAACATAACTGACAAAATGCTTACATTGTGAATTTGGAATGGTAGTTCAAGTTTATTATATTAATCTTTCTTATGTGTGCTTTTAATATTTTCTATAAACACTAATTAAGAGAAGGTACATATATGTTTGCAGTGGTTACTATTCAGCAGAAAGATTACAGTTCCATTTTTATTTTCATTTTCAAACTTCTCTGCATTTTCCAAATTCACAAAATGAATGCTGAGAAAATAAGAGCCACTTATAGATAAATAACCAGTAGCTGTATCCAGGGTTCCTAAGGCCCTTACACTTGAGCTGCCTCTAGAAGGCTGACGAATGGACAAAAATAGGATGATTCTCCCACAGACAAAAGGAAGTAGAGGGCTGGCTGCCTTCACGGTGTGGAGATGTAAAACCGGCCATATCTTGGGAAGGGAGAGGGAAGGGTGTTATTCTAAGCCACTGGTCTCAAACTTGGGCATGCATCAGAATCACAGAGAGGGCTTGTGAAAAAACAGGTTGTCCCCCGAGTTTCTAATTCAGTAACTGGGGCCAGGCCTATGAATTTGCATTTCTAACAAGTTCCCAGATGTTATTGACAATGATGATGCTTGTCTCGGGACCAGGCCTTGAGAACTTCTGGTGTACGCAAAACCCAGCCATCAGATACTTGTATTTTTAATTGTTGAACTATGAGGGAGACATTGGCAGGAATCACTCCAATGTTATTATTTGGCAGATCACAAATTACTCAACGGAGCCAGCCAGCCAGTCTCGGGAAAGTTGGAGTCACATGCTAGAGCAGGCAGATAAACAAAGAGTCATCAGGGGGTTAGAAAACTCAAAAGTGAGAAAATGAGAGTGATCTCTAATGATCAGACACCACTGAAGAGATTTATTTAGGAGAAAAGCAAGGTAATAAAATGAGCATAAAAAGGGACTGTAAAAAATAAAAAAGTTTCAGTCATCAGGGTCTGTTGCTGTTTGGCAAAACTGGGGATCCAAGATGGCACAAAGTTTCTCTCCCATTCACATTTGTCACCAGCACTGGGTATTCCCCTCGGCCGGGGACTCCTTGAGAAAGAGGGACTGACCCTTCCTTGCTCTCTCTATCCTTTCTCATCCGCCCTTCATCCCACTTGCCTTTCTATTTGTTCTGCCACACCGAGCAGCACTGTAGTGCCAAGCGTTACACTGGGCTCTGGATAAAGTAGTGTCTTACCATCTTTGAACTACAGGACATACTAGTAGCATAGTACCTAGTACATAACAGCCGCTCACTAACTGTTGAATAAAACATGAGTAAACACATACGTGATCAGAAGGGGTCTTGGTTAAAGGTGCAGTGAATGGAACACAGAAATAGGATGCAGTGCCTGCAAGTAGGAATCATAGGCACAGCAGAGCGGGCCCAACAGTGCCAATCACCAGCTTGAGACACCATTGGGAATGTTACTATTTGGCACTTTTCCTGACACCTACATTTTCCCCAGTAGACTTTTGCTACTCTTCCCACTGCCTTGCCAATGTTTCCCACACCAATACCCATGGTTCCCAACTTTTAGCTAAATGAGTATATATTTCATTACAACACCTTTAATCTGTCTCAGACCTGAGGCTGCAAATAAGGCATATGCCTGACTACATGATGCTCTTTACTGCAAGGCATTCTCCTACTTCCCTAAGGAAGAGATCCAAAAAAGGTTTAGGTTGAACTTAAAAATGTAGACTTTTAGGAATATAGATTAAGTAATTATGTGTCTACTTACACTGTTTAATTTGTTGATTGTTATGCATGTATATTTAAACATAGTCTCTAAAATATTAACTTTTAAAATTCATTTTGAGAGAGAGAGAGAGGAAGGGGGAGAGAGAGAGAAACATTGTTATGAGAGAGAAACATTGATTGGCTGCCTCCTTCACACACCCCGACTGGGGATCAAACTCACCACCTGGGTATGTGCCTGAGTGGGAATCGAACCCACCACCTTCTGGTGCACAGGACAACGTGCCAACCAACCAAGCCACACCGACCAGGGCTAAAATAATGACTTTTTAATTTAAGTTTTTTGAAACAGTTTTAGTACTAGTACTTCCAGGTGAATCTTAAGTCATTTGACATAGCTTCCCAAAGCATGTCACCTGGCTTCCATTAAGTTATTTGAGATACAACACTTTTTGAATCTGTGGGTGATGCTGTCCTGGGAATTTTTATCACAGACCACAAGTCCCTCTCATATAATACGAGAACATTTTTTCATTCATTTTTTAGAGTAGTTTCATGAGTCTCCCAATGTAATCATACACTACATATTAAATTGATTATAAAAAGTCTTGTTTACCACAACAAATAAGCCAGCAACTGTGACTTACAGTCTTTGCAAGGATTATGTACTAAATCTTTTTTAAAATGTATTTCTGGTCTTTTTTTATTTAACAGTTCCTTTAAGATGACCTCTTACAAGCATTCTAGACCAGCAGCGATTCCTGCTGGTTCAAGCTAATATGTCCTCCCCCAACAGGACCTTGTGATGCAATAAAGGAATTAAGAGAGCATGCCCCATAATAGAAGGGAGCTTGTAACTCCTAACTATAAAGCAACTTCCACTCTTGGATTCAAGAACAGTGGGGGGAAACCTTCTCTTATATTTGGAAGTGTTCTATAAGTTTATTTCCTTTTTATTTTTCTTTTAAAAACAGAAACCTTTTGTTCTTTAGGCCACTATGATGATTAAAAAAGTAAATCATAAGGATATGTAGAGTGATCAGTTGTGATTGGATTAATAACTTTCCAGTTGTCAAGTCATAAGAGGTTTTGAGAGAGAGATTTTTATTGTGAATTAAAGGAGTGTGTGTGTGTGTGTGTGTGTGTGTGTGTGTGTGTGTGTGTAATGCCATAATTATGGGTCGGTCTCTAGTAATTAGAAAGTTTCATGTGGTGAAGAGCAAGCAAATTGGTTTAAGTGGATCATTAGAAGAAGAAAACAAGTTGAATTTGTTTGTGATTTTGATGGCAGGGGGCATCAAAGTAGTTTGGTGCACTTAACAGTTTATTCTATTTATAATTGTAGAGGTTCTTAGTTTTGCAACATTTAATATACAGTTTATATATTTATATATGTTTCAGGCTACATTATTGGAATTTTGAAGACATGAAAACATCAGATGAACCAACCTGCAACATCTTGGATTCAGATTGGAAGATGAAGAGAAAGTTTAAAGAATGTGGCCTATAAAGGCGGGTAGTACCTGGAAATATTAACCGACTGGCATTGTAAAAATGAGACTGGTTTCTAAAGAGTAGAGATTATTTTAGTCCAACATCAAGGTTCAAGACAAAATGTTGAACTAAAAACTTTACCCCCCTCCCCTCCCCCACTTCAGACAGGTACCAGCATTAGTGAATATGATTTTCCTTAGCCAGAAGCACTCTGCTTTACCCATGTAGACCATCCTTAGGAATTAAATATTGGTTATTTAATGTAGATTATAATGGGAAACTGATTTTTTCCACAATGGCAGATTTCAAGGACTTGGTTCCAAACTGAGCCGGAGCATCCCAGTGCATTGTGTACAGTCTGGGAACAACTATGCTGCACTGGCCGTTTTTGAAGGCCATCATGCCCTGTAATATAAGGATATCATCTTCTTGCTGATATCTTTGGAGAGTCCCAAGCAGACACAGAAAATGAATGGAGGCAAGGAGTGTGACGGAGGGGACAAGGATGGAGGTCTTCCAGCGATACAAGTTCCTGTGGGTTGGCAGCGCCGTGTGGATCACAATGGAGTGCTTTATGTCAGGTGAGCCCTTATTACTACCTGTGTTACCTCCAAGTTGCAGTCCCAAAATTAAGGAGGTAGATAGAGCCTGTTCCTCCGAGGGAGCAAAATATTGTGACTGACAGCACCTCAAATAAATTTGAATAAATGATCTTTGTGCTGGAAATATTCAACTGTTTTTATTCTGCCCTATTTTGCGATGTAAATTGCCTTAGGTTACAAGAGAGAATTTTTACGCATTACTTGTGTTTATATAACGTGTCGTTCTGCTTATCTCTGTAACAAGGATAAAGAAAAATGAAGATTTCTAAAAGAAACATAGGCATCATTACCACATTCACAAGGGAATGTAAATACTAGAAATAGACCCAAGGTCCCTCGACAGTGTTATTCCATCCTTCAGAGTGCTTCAGCTGGATTTTCCGAAGGAAGGTGGAGTGTTTATATTTATAGGCAGTTTTAATTAGTAGACTTCTTAAAGCCTTATATTAGATACAAATAATTTTCCTATTTTTTATGCACCGTTTTTAATCTATATCCTTGCATATTATAGTAAAAAAGAAAAGGTCATGATGGAGATGGCTCTTCATCTCTCACATAAAATCATACAAATATAATGCAAATGCCTGCTCTATAGAATTTTGAGGGCAAGTATCTCTTATAGAACAAGTTGAATGGAATAACTGAACTGTTGGCAAGAAGTTTCAGTCTTATTATTGAACTAGAGGCCCGATGCACAAAATGCGTGCAAGAGTAGGCCTTCCTTCCCCCAGCACCCTCTGGCACCCGGGACCAGGGCTTCCCTCGCACCCCTGGAAGGTCGTCTGGTCTAATTAGCATATTATGCTTTTATTATTATAGATAATTGGCACCTAAGTTCCTTACTTATCAGTTTATATGAAAAGTTAGGACACCATAAAATCTCTCTTTGTTATGTAATAAACGACTACTAGAAATAGAACTTTTTAAAAGTTATCACGTCCCATCATGATATTAATGCTGTTACTTTAAATGCAGTTATTTGTATCTCTGCTTCAACGGAATTCTTCATTTGTTCAAAGCTGTATTTATATGAATGAGGTATTTGCTGTTATATAAACATAAATTATTTCATGCCGTAACAACTCAAAATTCAGTTCAGAGTCTCTCCTGCATTTGTTTGATGTAAGGTGTTTCTGGAGGTAAACTTAATTACAATTGAAATTCTCTGGCACATAATTCTTTTGTTTCTGGGATGCTAAAGATGTGCTCTATATTAAGAGGAGTGAAGGAATACGAAAGCAGGGGATGTGGAGCTTGTCCTGTTAAGATGGACACACGGGTCACCTTCTCAAGTGTTCCTATAGCCGGTGCTGTTAACAAACTGCCAGAAATACTTTGTTATTAATGTAATATAGCAAGGTGTCAGTGTTGCTGTTCATATTTATTATTGCTCTAGTCTGTAAGGAGCAAACATGTATCCATCTTAGAGTAAATGAATCTAGGATCTTGAAGATCTAATTTTTTTAACTTTATCTTCATTCCTATGAAAGATCAATTAGCTTTTCAGATTGCTGAAAACTAAATTAAAACAAGCTACTAAGTCTGGGAATCTGTCAGTTATCTTGTTCATGATTTTCCACATGTAGGTAGATTCCGCTATCTGTTAGTGTGAGTTAGCGTGAGTTCTCCAAATCCAAGTCTCTGCACTAAAAATTATTTTGAAAACTAACTTTGCCAGATAAGGTAAAACACCTTCAAATAAATTAAGCCAGTATGGGTTTGATTTGTTTGTAAAGAGTTAAATTACTGCTTGAACACATATAAGGAGCTAGCCCTCCTATCGCTCCCTTCTCAATGTGCAGTTTGCTTGTAATTTTTAGGTTTGTCTCCAGCTGCTCCTGCCTCAGGGAGGCGTTGAGGCTGCACATTAAATTTCCCACCTGCTTCCAATCTTCTAAGCGTTATCCACACCATAAGACTTGTAGCTGTTTTTTACGTTAATTATTACTTTAAAAAGTTAATTAAAGAGGTACAGCTGAAGAAAAGAGGCCAGCTGACTGACTGAGAGGAAGTGTTTTTGAAGTGTCTAGAGTGGAATACTCTAATAGAATTCAGGAACTCTTGTCTTCAGGTTTAATTTTACAATTAAATTCCTCTAGGATTCAGTCTGTACACCTTCTTTAACTGTAAAATGTTAGACAATTTCTTGTCACAAAACTCATGAACTTTTACACATGATAACTGTTGGGTGGTCGTGTTTTATGTAAATTAGCAGACCTCCAACACCTCTGGTCATTACCACTGTCATGGAACTCAAGTCGATAAGATGGGAATTATTATTTTTTACAGATCATTTGAAAAACTTTGTTAGCCTCAATAAATGAGTGAGTGAATTGACAAAGTTGAGGATTTTAATTGAGATTTTCTATATGTATAAGTCACTTACATGATTGTCCATAAATAAAACATGAATTGCATTTTAAAGTTGGTTCACTTGTAGATGCAAAACTGCTCCTTGTGTTTTTGTAGAAGCAGAATAGTCTACCCCTAGTAGTGTAATCCTTTGTATTATTTCTGGTCAAATCCAAATTTGATCAGAATGTGTAAGTGAAGGTTTTGGTAAACAGTCATAAATAAAAGACCATTCTTTTTTTTTTTTAATATATTTTACTGATTTTTTACAGAGAGGAAGGGAGAGAGATAGAGAGTTAGAAACATCAATGAGAGAGAAACATCGATCAGCCGCCTCCTGCACATCTCCTACTGGGGATGTGCCCGCAACCAAGGTACATGCCCTTGACCGGAATCGAACCTGGGACCTTTCAGTCCGCAGGCCGACGCTCTATCCACTGAGCCAAACCGGCTTTGGCTAAAAGACCATTCTTGAATGAAAAGTGTGTAATAATTTTCAAGGTTGTCAAAATCAGTATTTTAATAATAAAAGTCTTAAAATGCAAATTGCCCATTTTAAACTAACCCTCACTGTACTAGTAAATGAAAATCAAAGAAAATTAAAAATAAAAATAAAAACCAAGAGTAATAACCTTGAGAGCAGCACCCATTTACCAGCCAGAAGACCCTCAAGGCACCCCTTTCTGCCACCTAAAGTCCTCTTTCCTCGAGTCCCCTCATCCTTTGTCAGATCTGCTTGGCTCCTCTCTCCTTGTCAGTACCATTTGGCTCTTCAGTGTAATTTGAGTTGGGCCACACAGGTCTATCTTCAAAGAAACACATGGATGAGGGAGGGAAAAAAAAGAAACCTATTTTTACATAGGGACGACTTGGTTCTGGACTCCAAGATTAAAGCAAAGAACTTGCTAGCTCCAACTTTTATACACTTAGTGACTTTCTGGTTTGACCTCCAATGTGTTCATAAATTTCAGTTTTTCCTCCAACAGCTTCAAAAGTAGATCTTCTGGTTTAAAATGATAATGATTACTTTCATGTTGTTTTCTTGTTCCTCTCCTGCCTGCTCCTGTCGTCTTAAGAATAGCATTTTCCCCCATCCCAGTCCACGCTTGGTTTTCCAAATACTTTTATTTAATTTTCTAGGAAGATCTGTCTTTTTCTGAGAAATATTTTGGTTCAAAAGAAAGAGCGATGGTGCTAAAAGGCTATAATTTAGCAGCTAGCATAATATTGACAAAGAGAATGCTTTTCCCTAGTAGGAAAATATTATCCTGTGAAGGACAGTAAGACTATAAATTATGCCTTTTTTCATATGATATGTGCAGTCAGAATTATTTCCTGATGCTTTTTTGAACTATTTTTACAGTCCCAGTGGGTCTTTGTTATCTTGCTTGGAGCAGGTTAAAACATACCTGCTTACTGACGGAACATGCAAGTGTGGCTTGGAATGTCCTCTTATTCTTCCCAAGGTAACCATTTCACAACAGTTCTATCAGCAGTTTTCTCTTTTCTAGGTGTTTCGTATATTAGCTTTTCTCATTTGGCATTTCATTTTTATATTACTTCTCCAATCACATATGCATTTTAAAGTCTATCTAATTAGGTATCTTTTGCATGCATTTGGAATGCTTAATGACTGTGGAAAGTGGTTCAAATCCCAGAGTCATTTTCAAAGGTGACAAACCTATATTCATATTAAATACTTTATGAAAGCCATTTTTTGCACATTTTATTAGAGCTCTACCTATGTTCACCATTTAATAGTGCAGTAGTTTTTCCCCTCCTGTAACTGCTCAATCTGCAATGTTATTTTTAGCACTGGTGTTGATAAATCTGCCACCAATGCTTCTAAAATGATGAAGCTGAACTGAACCTTCCTACTCAAAATGTGAAACGGTTTTACTCCTTTGCAAGGTAGAAAGTAAAAACTGTTTAAAATGATAAAATATTATTTATTATGGAAGCAGGTTCTTGTTCTCTGAGTATCTATTATAGTGCTAATTTTAGAAATAAAATTAACAGACACCTTTTTTCTTCTTATTTGTTTCACTTTCACCTCATTCCAAAAAAGAAAAAAAGCATTTGAAACTTCTCATAAATATATACACAATAAGATTATTTTAATAGAAGAGTAGATTTTTAATAGGTGAAAAGGTAATATTAATATAGTAATAAAATAAAGCCAAAGGAAAAGTTAGCACATAGAAGTGTCAGCTTTTGGATTTTTAAACTGAACTTCATCTATTTTTGTACTGTTATAACAACAGGAAATATAACATCAGGGAACATAGATAATATACCTTTGCATATATTTATCTTGGCTATCGTGGAATTAGGATAATTTTCATTATTTACTGTGCCACTAAAAGCCATACGTTCAGCAGAAGTACTATTAAATTACATAAAGTTGCTTTTCTTAAATAACTTGAGAAAGTTTTATTCATATTGATGGCCTAATCTATGTAAAGAAATGTTTTAACAAAGCAACTTTTTATGTTATGTTTTTACGACATGCTCTAAACCGAGGCCATTCTTTTTCCAGGTGTTTAATTTTGATCCTGGAGCTGCTGTGAAGCAGAGAACTGCAGAAGATGTTAAAGCCGATGAAGATGTCACAAAGCTATGCATCCATAAAAGGAAAATCATCGCAGTGGCCACACTTCATAAAAGCATGGAAGCCCCACATCCTTCTCTGGTGCTTACCAGTCCCGGAGGAGGAACAAGTATGTAGCCTGGGGAAGGGTTTAGGAATCCCACCCCACCCCCTCCTCTCCTCGCGGAGTCATGGGAGATCACTTTGCCAAGCATTTTCCAAGTCCACTTTTCAAACAGGCACAATGCTTTTAAAGTTATGAGTGTCTTATCATTTTATTACAAGTAGCAAACTCATTCTGAAAAATCCCATGAAGTTGTTTCCCAAAATGTCCTATCCAAATCATCTAGTTAAACAATTAGAGTCTGATTAGCACATGCACATGTTATGGGGGTATGGAGCTGGGCTAACAAAAGAGAAAGTGATGCAGATTTTCAGGAATCAGAGGTAGCCTTTTTCTTAAGGTTGTACTTGAATGTGTGGTATCAAGTCCTCAAATGCAACTAATAATATTTTCAAGAACTAGCAGGTGTTATTTTTTTCTGTCATTTTATAGCTATTTATTGAGCACCTACTAGTAGATCTTACCTTTTTAGGAACTTTTTATACCTCCCCCAACACACCTGTATGCATGAATGCATGCTTTCATATTTTTTTAAAATTTCAAAATGCAGAAAAATTGCATGAACAGTTTATTGAATACCACGTACCCTTCATGTAGATTCACCAATTAACAATTTTGTTTTAGAAATTGCAGATGTCATAAAAATTGACCCCTAAATAGTTCAACACACACAGACATTCTCCTCACAAACCAAAATCTAATTGTCACATTTAGGAACTTTAATACTGATATAATATCATGATACAATATTATCTAATATGTAGTCTGTATTCAAATTCCTCCTGTTATCCTAATAATTTCTTATAGTTATTTTTAAACCAGGTTTTCTTTTTTAATCCAGGATGCAATCAGAGATTGTGCACTGCAATTAGTTGTTCCATTTCTTTAATCTGCATCAGTTCCCCATCTTTCGTTCTTTCATGGCACTGACATTGTTGAAGAGTCCAGGTCAATGTTAATAGGACGTTCCTCAATTTGGATTTGCCTGATTGTTTCCTCATTTATATTCAAGTTAAAAAATTTTTTTAAAATATATTTTATTGATTTTTTACAGAGAGGAAGGGAGAGGGATAGAGAGTTAGAAACATCGATGAGAGAGAAACATCGATCAGCTGCCTCCTGCACATCTCCCACTGGGGATGTGCCCGCAACCCAGGTACATGCC